GATGTGAAAAAACTGAAGAGACAAAAAAGGGAACCAGAGATCCTAACTGCATGGCGCAATCTGCAAACAGGACAACAGGAAAAGGTGGGGGGTCTTGTTACCCTTTCACTGTCATGTAATGGATTGCCCTGTAAATCCTACACCACTAGCTGAGCAGGGACTTGGAAGCAAGACTGTTTATTTAGTATTTAAGTGTAAACGCACCCATGAGAGCTAGTCCTTACAGGCTGGATGCCGTCTTTCAAGGCTGCATGCCGTGCACACGCTAGATTGATGCTTCCTGCCTGTTTTACTTTAAAGGGTGGCCTTTCTTGGGGCACCTGGGCAGCTCAGCTGGTTAAGCATCTGACCCTTGAGTTCCACTCAGGTCATGATCTCAGGGTCCTAAGATCCCCCTCCACACTTGCAGGGGGTCTGCTTCCCCTCTCCCTCTGCTTGCTTGTCCATGCTCTCTCTCTCTAAAATAAATAAATCTTTTAATAAAATAAAATAAAGGGTGGCTTTTCTGATATTGGGGCAAAAAAAGAAAAGAAAAACTCCACAAAGTTTCAGCTATTAAGGAAACCCCCAAGAGCTGGCAAGACTGAATGCGGCCCAGTCAAGAATTTGTGAATTAGGGAGCAGCTGAGTCAGGCCCTCAAGGGCTGGCCCTGCATTAGGAGAGTAAAGGAAAGGCATCATCATGTGGCCAAGTCAAAGGGAAGGAGCGAGGCCCACATGCAGCTGGGAAAACTAAGAAAGGGAAACCTCATTTAAAATGGAGTCTGGAGGCAGGTAGGGGAACTAGCTTGCTGTACCACTTAGGGTCAACAGCCAACCAACGGGAAGACACATACTTGGCATTCCCAACACAAAGCGTATACTTTACTACCCCAACAGCAGGAAGAAAGATTTTTTTTCTCCTTCCCCAGCAACAGTGCCGCCAATGAGAGACAGTCACAGCCCAGCCAATAAGGGACAGTCATAGCCCAGCCAATGAGAGACAGTCACAGCTCAGCCAATGAGAGACAGTCATAGCCCAGCCAATGAGGGACAGCCATAACCCAGCCAATGAGAGACAGTCACAGCTCAGCCAATGAGAAGCCACTACACTTCAACCTTGCAGTTTTCCCCCAAGGACTTTGTGTTTACAACCCCTCCCAAACCCCCTTTTCCCCTGTAAAAGACTTCTCTCCTTTATTTTCCAGACTTGCCTATGGTTTTGCGGAAGTTGGCTTGTCCTACATTGCAGTTCTCTGTTATTCCCGAATAAACCCATCTTTTGCTGGTAAAATGAGTCGAGTCTCATCTTTAAGGTTGACGGAGCCATGAAGGAAATGAGGCAGAAGATGTATTTTCTTTGTGCACGTGTGTTCACAGGATCTTTGGGAGAAATTGAAGCAGTTGTGGTTTTTTTTTTTTTTTAAGATTTTATTTATTTATTTGACAGAGAGAGACACAGCGAGAGACGGAACACAAGCAGGGGGAGTGGGAGAGGTTGAGAAGCAGGCTCCCCGCAGAGCAGGGAGCCCGATGCGGGGCTCGATCCCAGGACCCTGGGACCATGACCTGAGCCGAAGGCAGCTGCCCAACTGACTGAGCCACCCAGGCGCCCCGAAGCAGTTGTGTTTTGATGCAGCCAGATGAGGATGAACACATTTGATGACTATAGTTTTGGAGCCGACTTCTTAAATCGAAGACGTTGGGGCCATCTTCAGCACTGAGGTATTCAAGGTGTCTTCTCTCCAGCTCACAAAGGGTTATACCTTTACTCAGTCACCAGATGCGACACACTCGAAGTGGACACGCTAAATCAGCAAAGAGCAGCCACTTGGCCCCCCCGCTGAACTGCACTCAATTCTGGGACAGCTGACCGCAAAACATCACACTGCCAACAAGGTAGCGTATCATTGGATTTCGAAGACGTGGAGGAACATTCTAGACCAGAGTTTGGCCAACGATGGGCAACAGGCCAACTCTGGCCAGCCACCTGTTTTTATAGCCCTTGTGACGGACATCATATGGATCACAAATCCAAAATTATTGACTGTCGGCCCTTTAAAGAAAAAAAAAAGTGTGCTGACCCCTGTTCTAGAACCACCCTAAATATACGTTGGCCACATATGGCCCTGTGGACGCACAGGCTGGAACATGCCACTGCAGGAGTCGCAGGCGAGAGGCGCCGTGAGCGCTATCTGAAGTCAAACTAAGGCGGGTCCCGGCTGAATACACCCCACGGATCTTCATAGGAGTTTTGTCTGTTAAGCATAGAATACCAGAATTTGGAATTAAAAAAAAAAAAAAATCATTAGGCCCAAAATAATGCACTTCGTAATTTTTTTTTTTTTTGAGTGCTTTTGTGTCTGTTAAAAGCCACATATCTGACTATTGTGCTAAAAAATACACGCCCAGCTCCCGCGCAGAAACATGGCTGTCTTATCAGCGCCCTCCATCGAAAACCCCTGGGCTGGACACCCAGGGAAACATCCCGAGCGGCCTCTGGTTGTCATAGCAGCCGCTTGCCACGCGGGGGCAGAACATCCCCGGCTACCACGGAGCCCTGCTCCGCAAGAAACCCTGAGTCCCAAAGTCTCTGCCTTCAGGGGGCTCTCGGGACCCCTGGGAGGGAGGAGGTCTAGTCGGGTGAGCATCGGGGCAGCGTCCACTGAATTACTGAATCAGTAATTACCTGCGGCACTGAATCAGAGGCAGAATGAACTACTGAATTGCAAAGGGCTTTTTTGGTTAAAATCAGGGCAGCCTGCACATATGGCTTCCATTCTTCATTTGATTCTATTGTGAGGCAGGCTATTTCTCTTACACAGGGAAACGTTTCTACGAGAAGATGCAAATGGAGCTTTAGAGGATTGGATTAAAAAATGTTTGAAAGCAAGAATTTTAAACATACTGGCATAGAAACGGCTGATTCCCTGCAAAGAGCTAATATGTTTATTGCAAACTCTTCACTCTTAAAAAAATAGATTTGTCTTTTTAATAGATAATAGACACACGGTAAAAAAAACAAACAAACCCACAAATCATCAAAACGGATACTGCTCAGAAGCAATACAATGATTCTTTGGTCTCCTTTCGGAGATAGTCTGTGTATATACCTTTTTATGTACAAAAGGTATACAACACACACTGATCTGCATCATGCTTATTTTTTCCTACTTAGCACTATATTGAAGATTGTTCCACATTAGTGCATGGACATCTTACCTCATTCCTTTGAATGCTTGAATGCTTCAATAAGGATCCCATTGAATGGATTTCCATGCTTTTTTTTTTTTTATGAGCGAGATAGAGAGAGGCGGGGGTGGGGGGATTAGTGGGGAGGAACAGAGGGAGAGGGACAAGCAGACTCTGTGCTGAGTGCAGAGCCTCATCTTAAGACCCTGAGATCATGACCTGAGCCATAACCAAGATTCAGACCCAACCGACTGAGCCACCCGGGTGCCCCTCCAAGCTGTCTTTAACCAGAACTCTCTTGATGGACATTTAGATGACTTCCCAATCTTTTGTTGTTACAGTGGGGTGATGACTAGGCTTGCACATCTATCCTGGAAATCTGCTCACAGCTTAGTCCCCCAAATTCCTAGAAGATGACTGAGTGATCAGAAGGGATGTATGTTATAAAATTTTCATGATGCCAATTAATCCTCCAATGATACTAATAACTGACTTCTATGAGCTGTCACTGTATGTCAGACATCATTCTGACTGCTTTGTAAACTGTGGCACTATGGGTAAATTCAACTCACAGGTGATCTTTACTCATTTATTGTAGTAAATGAGATCTCTTTGTAATTTCAGTTTGCATTCATATTATGAATGAGAATGAGCATATTTTTATTTCATTTTAATTTTTTTAGAGTGCGAGAGAGAGCCCGTGCTCACGAGTGGGGTGGGAGGGTGGTGATAGAGGAGGGGCAGAGGGAGAGAATCTTAAGCAGGCTCCACAGCCAGTGCAGAGTCAAGGGGGGCTTGATCTCACCATCCTGAGATCATGACCCTGAGATCACGACCTGAGCCCAAATCAAGAGTCAGATGCTTAACCAACTGAGCCACCCAGGTGCCCCATTTTTTGTTTAAAAGACGATTGTACTTCTTTTACTTTGTGACTACTTGTTTATATCTTTTGACCATCTTTCTGTTGAGTTGTTGACCTGTTTCTTAATGTTAAAAGCCTTTGAATATTAAAAAATGCAAATGCTTCCCCTGGTTTATCATCTCTTGACTCTGCTAATAGTAGTTTGTTTTGGCCCCAAAGAAAATTTTAATTCTTATGTGGCTGGATTTTATTGGTCTTATCTTTTGCGATTTCTGACTTCTGTGTCATGCTTGGAAAGACTGCCACAATCTGGGATTATAAAAATAAGTCCCCCATGTTTGTGCTAGCACTTTCATGGCTGTATTTTTAAAAATTATAACTTAGCTCCATCTGGAATTTATTTTGGTGTAAGTATTAAAGCAGAGATCCAATTTTACTCTTTCCCAGATGTCTCCGCAATTGTCCCATGCCTTCATGAGATAACCCAGGTTTTCTACACTAATCTGAAACATCCTTTTTATTTAATATTATTTTCCTGAATATTTTTGAGTCTATTTTCGGACTTTATTCCGTTCCATTGATCTGTCTGCTTTGTTTGTATGCTGGGATCAAGCCCTTTTAATTTCTGTGGCTTTATAATACATTTTAACAGCTTGCAGGGATATTTCATTACTCCCCCCCCCCAGAATTTTCTTAGCTATTCCTGCATGTTCCATTTCCCATATAAATTTTCGACTCAACTTGTCTATGTTAATTTGAATGAGGCCAGGCTCTCAAAGTCTTTGTTTAAATAAGAAATCTAACATATTTATTTACCTCATGCTTCCTATGAAGGAAGAGAGAAGCCAAAGAAAGAAAATTCGTGAATGGAAAGTTCACCTTTGGAAAAACAGAGGCATCTCTTTAAAATATTTCTGTCAGAGCTAACTTCATTAAGTAAGATGACCAGTTGGTGTTATAGCCTTTGGGGAAGTTAAGGTTGCCTTTCTCAGGGTAGAGCAGCAACCTTGGAAAACCAGGTGACTTGCCTACTCCTATGTTGGGAGAACGTCTGTAAGGATGGATGATGATGATGCAGGATGCTGTCCACTCTTCTCTGCAGCTTTTGGGGGGGAGGGTGGGAAAGGATCGCTTTCTCCCTTCAATTTTGCTGCAATTCTGCTGTGATTTTTTTTTTTTCAAGCCTCAAAGCCGGAATTCTGTTCATTGGTACTGAAAGAAAAAAAAAAAAAAAAGGTCTGAAAAGCATAAAATAGGTTACTGGAAAGGAAAAGAGAGGAATAAGATCATTAACAAATGGAATGTGGGCTGGGATCGTTTGATATTCGGAGTAGTTCTGAAATACAAAACAAAACCAGAACAACAACAAAAACCAAATAAAAATCTCTGTCGATGTTTTCATTGGGATTATACTAAACCTACAGATTTATTTGGGAAGAATTTGTCATCTTTACACAAGTGAGCCTTTCTAGCAAAGTGTAGGAAATTGTTGCATTTAGTCAAATCTTCCTTTTTGTCTCTCTGTCTTTTAGATTTTCTTTGTGTATGAATCTTATACATTTATTGTACCCTCGGGTGTTTTATCTGTTTTGGTTCTTAATTCTTTTTTTTTAAAGATTTTATTTATTTATTTGAGAGAAAAAGAGCACGAGCAGGGGGAGGAGCAGAGGGAGAAGCAGAGAGAGAATCTCAAGCAGACTCCGTGCTGAGCACAGAGCCCGATGCGGGGCTCGATCTCATGACCCTGAGATCATAACCTGAGTCAAAAACAAGAGTCAGATGCTTAACTGATTGAGCCACCCAAATGCCCCATTTTTGGTTCTTATTGTAAGTAGAATCTTTTCTTTAATTATATTTACAAAGTGCTGTTAATACAGATCCCTGGATATTGATTTTTTTTTTTTTTTACTATTTATTTTGTACCCACTCAGCTTATTGAATTATTCTACGGTTGCTCATAGTTTTGCCATTGATTCTCTGCATTTTTCCAACCACACAGTCAATAGTAATTTTTGCTTCCTCTTTTCCAGTTTTTGTACCTCTTGTCTGAGTCAGACAATTTGGCCATGTTAAACGGCAAGGGTGGTGACAGGTGATTTTGTCTCCCCATTGAGCACAAGTCTTATTTCTGTCTTGAGGTATATTTAATTTGGCATTTTAGAGAATTAGCTATCTTCTTATTTATCAAGACTTTAAAAATCAGGATGAAATTGGAATTTAACAAATACCTATCATCTGTATAGATGAACACATCTTCTTGGGACTTATTCATGTGGTAAATCACATTCATAGATTTCCTAATATTGGACAACCCTTCCATAACCGGCATCGACTGCATTTGTCTGTCGCATTTATTCTTTTAATGCACTGCTGGATCTGTTGGATAGTATTGTATTTAGAATATTTACATCTGTCTCCATAAGTGAAGTGGGTCTGTGGTTTCCTTTTATCACGGTGGTTTTGTTGGGTTATCATTGATCTGCTAGCTTCATCAGAAAAACTTGGAAGTTGTTTTCTTTCTCCAGGCTCTACAGCAGTTTAAAAACAGCATTCTCTAATCAATAGAGGTTTAGTAGGATTCACCTGTTGAACTGAGCCAGATGCTTCTCTGGGTGGATGACTTTTTTTTTTTTTTTTAGAGAGAGAGCTTGCGCACAGGTGGGGGGAGTAGGGGGATGGGGAGAGGGAGAGAGAGACTCTCAAGCAGCTCCACCCCCAGCATGGAGCCCATCGCAGGGCTTGATCTCACGACCCTGAAATCATGACCTGAGTCGAAATCAAGAGTCAGATACTTAACCAACTGAGCCACCCAGGCACCCCTGGATGGATGACTCCTCAGCAAGTTTCTCAGCATCTTCTATGGTAACTGACATTTTCTGATTTTAAAAATCTCTTTTGGGGTCAGTTTCGATTATTTATATTTTCGCAGAAAGCCATTCATTTGCACAGAATTGAGCAGAAGGGCATCATTTCTTTGATTTTCTCTATAGCTATGGTTATTCCATTCACGATCCTTATTTGGTGTGTTTGTGCTTTTTCTTTTATTTCTTTGTTAGGGTAAATAATGGTTTTCCATTTTATTTATTTATTTATTTATTTATTTATTTATTTATTTATTTATTTATTTATTTATTTATTCTTCAAGGAACCAACTCTTAGATGTGTTATGAGCATTATTGTTTTTCTAGTTTCTAAATTCTGCTCTTATCCCTTTTAATCTTTTTTCTCCCTGCTGTCTTTAGGCTCATCTTGTTATTCTTACCCACACATCTGGAATTAGGTACTCAGTTTAAAATTTAAAGCAGCTTTATTGAGATATAAATTACACACCGTGAAATCTGCCCACTCTAAGGCTAATAACTCGATGGCTCTTCTCGCTCAGGCATGCAGGGGGCAGAACTGCAGAGGGAAATGGCAGCTGGGCTGGCTTCTTCCGTTCAGCACTGCTCGTCTGCTTCCACTCCAGAGACTTGTTAACTGTGCTGTGAATGAGCAACAGGCCAAGTGTCTAGAGCTAACGCTTTGTCTCCTGGGCACGCTGTTGAAGCATTTGAAGACTTTGCACCAAGCCGGTGTTCAACAGCGCCCCCCGTGGCACCTGGAGGCAACAGCAGCAGAGGATTGTTCAAGCGCTGGGTCCCTGCGCTGGGCTGCCCTCCCTACCGACTCTGGACCAAATCCCAGACGGTCCTGGTCAACCCGGAGGCCTTAAGAGGGAAAGAAATATAGGATTTCCTGCTAGCCAGGCACTGGGAGCTTAGGTAGTTGGTTGGGAGAAGACATGAGGTGTGACTGTATTTGCGCCCTGGATTTGTGGGGTGGTTCATGTCATCACAGTTTATTATTATTTATTGGTTTTAAAGCTGAGGTTTGGGATGAAGAAGTGACTCGACCACAGTCCCACAGTTAGTAAGTGAGAAAGCCCCAGCTAGAACCCGGAACCTCCAATTCCAAAGGCTGGGAGTGTCCCTCTGCACCTCCCTGGAGACAGGATATGACACTAAATGTCCCTAAATGATGGCGACAATGACATTAAAAAGGAAAGGCAAGGGGCACCTGGGTGGGACAGTCGGTTAAGCAACTGACTCTTGGTTTCGTCTCAGGTGGGGATCTCAGGGTCGTGGGATTGATCCTCACCTGGAACTCCATGCTCAGCTCTGAGTCTGCTTAAGACTCTCTCTGCCCCTCCCCACTGTGAGTGCTCTCTCTCTCTCTCTCTCTTGCAAATAAATAAATTTAAAAAAAAGTTTTTTAAAGGAAAGGCAAGAATGACGTAAGTTAAAGATTTTTAAAATATGCAAAACATCTTTTAAATGGTCTCTGGAAGTTTATACCCCCTGCAAAGGCAGAAACATCTGGAATCGGTGCTACTGGTCAGGAGAGCCTACAAGCGTCCTTTGTCTGGGGCAGGGCAAAGAAGAAGTTCTGCGGCTTTCTGAAGGACTCCTGAACTGTCATTTTTAATGTCCTTTTGCACTGCAAGGAGTCAGAATTGGTTGGTGAGTTCTGCCTCCCCTAGAAAAATTCCTTCGAAAGAATGTCAAGTGTGGTTATGAGCATGTGTTTATTGACTTTTTTTTTTAAGTGCCCATTCTGACATCCTGAAATGCAAAGGCACTTTGTTTCTTTTCCTTTTTTTTCCCTTTTCCTGGCTGGTGAAATCCACATTCTTGCTACCTTGGCCCCCCATTTAGACATCTTCTAAGCTGACTGGTTTTTTAGTAGAGAAAAGAAGAGAGATAAGAAAGAGAAAGAAAGAAAGAAAGAGAAAAAGAAAGAAAGAAAGAAAAGAAAGAAAGAAAGAAAGAAAGAAAGAAAGAAAGAAAGAAAGAAAGAAAGAAAGAAAGGGAGAGGGAGAGAGAAGGGGGGGAGGGAGGGGGGAGGGAGGGAGGGAGACAAGCCACGATCCTCTGGAAGAGTTTGGTCTCTAATGTCATAGGAGCCAGAGGGTATTGGGGTCCCTTTCTCCCAGAACCGTGGCTCAGAGAAATATTTGCCAGGTGAATGGCTTTGCTTGATTGCTCTTTGTCTAGACTGAACCAGAAGGTCTGAAGAGACATACACAAATAGGAGGAAAATTCTTGGCCCTCATAGTGGTACACGTTGTTCCATTTCACTGTTATGTAAGCATTCGGGAATGGCAAATAGTGAGCGTCATCCACACCGCATCACCGGGCAGGCAGCTGCCCAGTCCCTGGGACCATGATCTCCAACCCCCTCCCAGCCCCAGGCAGGGCACTTTTCATCAGATGGTACCATGTGGCCATAGCCATGACAGAATATAGAATTCTTTTTCTAAAATAACATTTGTATTTTCTATATAAACCTTAAACTTCATTTTCCCGTCGTCTATCAGGGCTTTCCATGTGAAAGAAACAGAGTGAGGTTTACCTCGAAGTGAAACATGAACGCTGAAAAGTGAACACAGCGCAAGGGCACAATTCTGTGACCAAACCCATGAGACAGAGTACGACCGGCACCCTAGCGTCCTCCTCCCGCCACCTTTCGTTACTTATCTTCAGCTGAAGGCTATCTGTTATCCTGACTTTTACCATCACAGTTTCATTTTGGCCAACAGGCAGGGTTTCAAGGTCATGGATATGCCTCAGCAAGGACGGTCTGCAATTCAAGCTGGAGGGTGAGTGGTTGGGAGAATTCAAGAACCCTGGTCCAGCCTGCAGGTGACATTCAGGGTGTGGGAGGAGACTGCCTTTGGTTTCAGCCATCCCCGCTCTGGGATCTGGGAGCTGGGTGACACTAGGACACGTCACTTCTCTGAGCCTGAAAGAGTGTCCCCCCTCTTTAAGGGGGAATAAGACCCCTGCGTCCCAGGATTAGAGAGGCAGAAACCAGGCCAAGAGCACCTGGCACAGAACTATGCCCTCACCTTAGTGCCCCTTGTACGGTGGGGATGAGACCGAAGGCCACGTTTCTTTGTCGCCCCCATTTTTCTGGAGCTTCTTGCTCCCCACACCCCATGCCATCGTCCTGCTGGGCTGCATGCTGAAACCTGACCTCACAGATGACACACCGCACCCCCCCCTTCAGCTACCTCCACGGAGCAGGAATGGCTCCTTCCCACGCCTCCGCAGGCTTCGTTCCTGCCTTCCTGGGACCAGAGGGGATCAGATCCTGCTATCCTCCTCCGCCTTACAGGGGAGGAAACTGGCTCCACGCTAGGGAGGGACTTGCCCAGGGTCACAGGGCGAGGGCACAGCTGGGACCAGAGCCCTGGCTGCTGACCCTGTTCTGCCCTTTGCTCTATGTCACCTGGCGTCTTCCTTTCTGCCCCTTCTCACCTCAGCCGGTCAGTGTGACAAATCTCTGTCTGTGTGGCAGAGAAGTGTGGGTCCAGCCATCCCCGGACAGAGAGACGGCAGGAGCCTAAATACAGCTAAAATGGAGATTTGCATTTAATGAGTGGATGTAGTCGTTTTTGAATAGGCAACACACAGACACGGTTAAATGTCTTTGGATTCATAAAGAACACACAGTGAGAATTCTCCCCCCACTGCTGCCCTCCATCTACCGAATTCTCTTCTCCAAGTAACTCCTGTTCTTTCTCCAGCATCCTTAAAGCAGCTTTCCAATGCCTATACACACAAACTAGATCTATGTGATTTCCCCCACTCTTTTTTTTTTTTAAGATTTTATTTATTTATTTTAGAGAGAGAGAGCTCAAGCCGGGAGATGAGCAGAGGGAGAGGAAGAGAGAGACTCTCAAGCAGACTCCACACTGAGCACAGAGCCAGACATGGGGCTCGATCCCACGACCCTGAGACCAGGACCTGAGCCGAAACCAAGAGTTGGATGCTTAACTGACTGAGCCAGGTGCCCCTCTCCCCTCCTCTCTTACATGGAGGGTAACATGCTGTCTTCTTTCCTGTTTTCATTGAACCATACATGTGGGGGAGCTCTACACATCAGCACACAGATAGCTTCTGCGTCTCTTGGTCACGGCTCCACAGCATTCCTTCGCACGCCTGTGTTACATTATTGAAACAGAATTCATACCCCATAAAGTTCACCCACTTAAAGTGTACAATTCAATGGCTTTTAATATGTTCACTAAAGAAGAGTTGTGGAACCAGCACCCCACAATGAATTGTTGAACCCTATATCGTCCCTGAAAGAAACCCTGTACCCCTTAGTTATCACCCCCCAAGCACCACCCCAGCCCTAGGCAACCCCTAATCTACTTTCTGTCCTTATAGATTTGTCCGTTCTGGACATTTCATATACATGCAGTCATGCACTATACTGTTCTTTGTGACTGGCTGCCTTCACTTGGCTTAACGATTTCAACGTCCATCCGTGTTGTAGGGTGTGTGGGCACTCCATTCCTTTTTACCATCAAATAATACTCCATTCTAGGGATCGACTGCATTTTATTTACCCCTTCATCAGCCAATGGACATTCGGACTGTTTCCACTTTTTAGCTATTACGAATAATATTGCTGGGAATATCCATATGCAACTTTTTGTCTGGGTGTATGTTGCCATTTCTCCTAGATACATGCCTAAGAGTGGAATGGCTGGATCATACGGCTTATTTGATAATTTACTTATCTAGTCCCATATTGATGAAAATTTGATCAAATTCCATCTTACTTTTTAAATTTTTATTTATTTTTATTTTTCAATATTTTATTTATTTGTCAGAGAGAGAGAGAGAGCACAAGCAAGGGGAGTGGCAAGCAGAGGGAGAAGCAGGCTCCTCGGTGAGCAAGGAGCTCGATGTGGGGCTCGATCCCAGGACCCTGGGATCATGACCTGATCTGAAGGCAGACGCTTAACCGACTGAGCCACCCAGGTGCCCCTACAGCTTACTTTTTTAAAGATTTTATTTATTTATTTGAGACAGAGCGCATGCAAGACGGGGAGGAGGAGAAAGAGAGAGGGACAAGCAGACACTGAACTGAGCCCGGAGCCCAATGTGGGGCTCGATCTCACAACCCCGAGATCATGAGCTGAGCTGAAATCAAGAGTCAGATGCTCAACTGGCTGCACCACCCAGGCACCCCTCAAATGACATCTTAAGAGCCAGTAACACTTACAAGTTTGGCAGGTGCTGGTCCTCTTAGTGAGGATTCAGGAGTGGAGCTGGGAACATCGGCTGCTCAGAAACTGCCAAAGCTCCCTGCTTTTCTTTTCTCCCAGACTCTTAATATTCTAGAACTTTCTGGTTAAATGTACTTAGATTCCAGTGTGGACCGTGACTCAGGAGTGTGGGTAAAGGAAGCCCCACTCTGAACGACCTGGCCTTCTGGCCCACTGCCCACTGATCCCTGAGGGGGTGTCCCCCAACCCCTGTCCCACGCCTGTGCCTTCCTGTCTGGGGTTCCTCATCTGGGAGACAGTCCAAGAGGAAGCTGGTGACTCCTGACCCTGGAGTTTCCTGACCCTGTGACAACAGGCCTCTGCCACACCTGACCATCTGTCACTCCTAGGGCAGGTGCAGAACAGAGGAATTCAGGAACTATCCAGGCTATAGGCTGATGAGCCAGCCTCCGGACCAGCCTCCCACCACTGCAGGCCTGGACGGGACCAGGGAGAGCTGGAGACTCCTTGGTGCCAGCATGTTTTTAAAAATTCTTTCGCTTTAGACCTTCTCAACATGCTTAAGCCAGGAAGTACTTTGTATTCTAAGCCAACAATAGACAGATCGATTGTGATCCCCTAATGAACTAGAGAAAACTAGTCCAGCTCTTCTCTGAAAAGTTTCTATTTGGTACTGCCCTAAAATTCTCTGGGTATCGAGTTACTCCCAGCTCAGGAACCTCAGTGTGGCCCGACTTCAGTAGGACTGTGATCACCTGCAGGGAAGACCTCTCATTTTATCTTCTCCATCCACGGCAGCCGCTTCAACTTGCCTCCCCAAGAGTCAAGGAAAAGACCGCCTCATGGAACGTGAGTATTCTGCTTCGATACAGGGATGGGCTGTTCTAGAAGGACTGCTGTATTTCCCATCAGTAAATTATAAGTGCAAAATAGCACAGAGGAAAATGTTTGTTTTTCTACAGGATGAGTTTATCCATTAAGATGCAACCAACTTATTTATTTTTTTACAAAGAAAAGTAAAGGACAATGTACTGTAATAATTAATATAGTGAGATTCTCTCATGTGGAAATGGACTAGTTTTAAAATAATGTAATGTCCTGTGGTTCTTGGTTGGGTATATTTTATATGTATTTGAACATATCACATCATTCTATAACAACTCTCAGAAAAGCTCTGAGCTTATATACATGTGTTCTCTTGCTCTGATTGAGATTTATGATGTTCTTGTTGGGTTGACTTTTTTTTTTTTAATAATGATGGGCATTTTCCCCTTCTATACTTCAAGTTCTCAAACCCTTCCACCAACAGTGGTATTAAATTCCTCATCATTGTATCATTTGTTATGGGTGACCAATTTTATATAATTAAATCGTTCATTTGGGCTTTGTCACATGTGGTTTATAGAGTTATTTTTAAACTGTTTCTCCCTTCATCTAAAAGTAATAAGATCATTCACTTATTCTGGCAATTAACTGTAATAAAAAAAAAATACCAGCATCTCTGCATCTTGCATTAGCAAAATGAATTAGCAACAATCAAATATCAGATAGACAACATTTGTGGAACAGCTGTGGTCCATGCAGCAGGCTATGGGATATAGCCAATGATACCTTGGAATACATCCGTGTTTGCAGAGGGCAAGAAATGGGGATTTGAGCCAGTCAAGTTCAACTGGAAAATGTCTCACAGTTTTATGTACTATTTCTGTGGCTTTCATTTCATTGTGGACTGGCTCTTCGAGGAGAGAAAACAGTTTTGAATTAAACAGCAATTAAGATCTTAATCTTCTGGTCTTAGAAGGGCACACGGTGTCATTACCGAGGGGCACTTCACCAAGGAGACCAAGAAAGTGCCCACTTGTACCTTTCCCTTTTTAAATTAACTTCTTTTTGAAGATAAATATACAGGGTACAAAATGTAAAAAAGGGCGCCGGTGAAAAGTACATCTCATCCCTTAATTCTCTTCCCCAAGGGCAACCACAGGTACTGACTTCTTGTGTGTTCTCCCAGAGATATTTTATGCATATGAGCTTCGAGCAAATATCATGTCCTTCCTTCTATTATGCATATGATTGCACACTATATCATGGTTAGTTTGCTTTTTCATATATTCATATTTAGTACCCCTCCCCCCAAAAGACCTCTCTTTATATATAAGTTATTAGACTCCTGCCCACTCAACAGAGAGAGCCCTTTGAAGCAGTCCCCATTTCCCCCACATTTCCCACTGATCATTGGCTCGGCCAGGCAACCCTCAGCCCAGGATGCTGGTCTCATCTGGCTCTCTCTGTTTCTCAGTGACCAAGTGGACTCCTCAGGGAGCCCCCAACCAGACCCAGGACAGCACTGGCTTCAGCTACCTGCTGAGAGACCACATGGAGGGGAGGAGCGGCACCAACTCCACCAGGGCCCTGAAACTTCCAGATGGGACCAGTGCTGCCTGGTACATCCTCACCATCATTGGCATCTATGGAGTGATCTTCCTCTTCCGATTGGCCAGCAACATCCTCAGAAAGAATGATAAATCCTTGGAAGATATTTACTACTCCAATTTGACCTCCGAACTCAAAAAGAAAGGTCTCCAAAGCAAGGTGGCCAAATGCTCTACATTGACCATTAGCAACAGAGCTGTCCTGCAGCCCAACCAGGCCAGCCTGGGGCCAAAATATAAAAATAGTGCGTGCCAAACTGAAATCCAAGGGATCCCTTGAAAGTCAAGGCAAGAAGACCTCCACAGAAGAGGCCCAACCAACCTTCCTACAAGGGGAAGCAGCTTTGAGTTTACCTGGAACCTTGAGAGAGGAGTCAGGTCCTTGAGTGGGGCTGGATGAGCATCACTGGGCTACTTAGGCCAATGGGAGTGTGACCAAAAGCCAGCGTCCTGTTTCCTTCTCAGGCTTTGTGGCACTTTGAGACAGGACAGCAGGGGCAGCAGATTCTGGTCATACCCTTCACTGGGAAAGCTTGTGTTCCAGGGAAGGACTTGGAGCATCTTGTGTTCTCAGAGAATCTAGGAGATTCCTAAGGGTATACATGAAAGTAGCCTCTTGTCATGGAAAGAAAGCTGAATTTGGAGTCGAGAGCTCTGGATTCAAGTTCAACTTCCAGGGGGTCACATGAACTTTGAATGACTTGTGGCTCTCACCTGGAACGCATGGCAGTGGGATATATGGTTTCAAAGAACCATTCATTCTAGACGTACTCACTTGAATATAGAACCAAGGTTGTTAATAGCAGAAGTTAGAAGTTCTTCATTTTCATTGAGGGCATGGGGTCCATTGAAAAAGAACATTCGTTTTGGAGTCAGAAGAATCAAACTCTAGTCAAGGACCTCACCGTTCTGGACCTTAGTTTCCACACAGATAAAATGAGAATGATAATGTCTGTTCTGCCAATCTTATAAAGTAGATAAGCACTAATGAGATCATGCATATGAATATATTTTTCAAAGTAAAATAAGTATGTAAAATATAAGCCTTGTGTTCATAGCGGTGATGGTGGTTGATGCTGATGGTGGTATCGGTGTTAGTGGTGATGGTAGTGATGGTTGATGCTAGTGTGTTGTTGGTAGTGGTGGATGTTGATGGTGGTGTTGGTGGTATTGGTGGTAGTGTTGATGGTGTGGTGGATGGTTGATGTTGATGATGGTCATGGTGGTGGTGGTTGATAGTGGTGGTGGTGGTTGATGTTGATAGTGGTGGTGGTGGTTGATGATTGATGTTGATGGTGGTAGTGTTGGGTGGTTGATGTTGATAGTGGGGGGGGTGGTTACACTATTTGGAAAAGGAAATGACTAGTCCACTGGCAATTAGTCTGTAAGCAATGGCTACAGTTCTAAGAGGACCGATCTGCATAACAATTGATGACCTGAGCTCTGAATCAAGTCCATGAGATTCAAGTTTTACATGTAGACAAAACAGTCACTTTTAGGTTTTGTTTCTTAGACATCATATGATTTAATAAAATGTTTTATAAATATCTGTTACTTATATACTTGTCTCTGCCTAAAAAGAAAGAAGACCTTGCCTAGATGAGTAATTAATTTCCAGAGGCCATGATTAGCCGAACTTCTGGAAGTGGCTTTCAGCAGGCAAAGTGATAAATTATATGTTGTACCAACTTCTATGAAATTTATCCAGTTCTGTTGTTGGAAACACTCCCTGGACTACAAATGAAATATTTTTTTCCCCTGTCTGCAGATAGTGGTCTGCAACCAGCCCCACAATTTCATAAAAGTCAGAATTAAACCACAAGCTTTTGTTTTTAGAGGGTGAGGTCGACTTCCAGGTATTTTTCTTTTTTAAAAAATATTTTCCACAGGTTATCCAACAAAAGTGGATATATAGTTTATATAGTTAGGGCTGGGCATCATCTGTATGTTTGAGATGCTTAGAGGGCAGGATAAAACAGAAGGAAGAAATATAGACAAAAATGTAATCCACAGCGAATAGGAACATGGAATGTATTTACAATGGGAGTGAAAGGTCAGAACTTAAGTGAATTTGAAGATTCAATCCTCTCCTTTGGTTGCTTCCCCAGCATGCATTGCTGCCTTCTTTAACACAACCACCCCTAATTTGCATTTGGAGATCCATATGGCTCTAAGGAAGATGAAACTGCTCCCAGTTCAAGGGCTGAAATAAGAGACCTAGATTAATTCAATCAGCACATTCCATTTCCTGGCTTCACTGATTGGGTCCAAAATGGACTCATGACCAAAGAGAGCTGACCCAGTCAGAATGACTGGAAAGATTTTAAAGGGAGATTCTGGGACACTGAAGTTTTGTCTTGCTCAGGATGGTGTTAAATGCAGATCTGAGCCTGTAATTGCTGGAGGCTTTTTGCCAATGTTAGAAAAGCCAAATTGAGGGCAAAAGCCAACATAGAGAGGAGAACTGAGAAAAATCACAGAGACTAGACTCCCAATCAAACTGTGCCCAAAGCCTCAATTTGCAACAGGACTCTTTCAGTTTGTGAGCCAATACATTTCCTTTATTAAGCTTTCTGACCCCCCTCAACCAAAAATATCCTATACGGTACTACTGGATAAGTAATTTCCTGAAGGAATTGGGCCTTGAAGTAGAATTTGAGAAGAGGAGCAATGTGATGTGGTAAGTGGCGATCCCTTCTTTCACCAAGGTTTTGTATTTCTAGGACTTTTGTGTTTTAGGGAAAGATAGATTTGGTATGCTTCTTATGCCAGCTCAATGATCACTTGTAAGATTTCACATTGCTTGACCTTTCAAGGAGCATTCAATGAGATTCCATTCCATTTAATCCCCAATCCTTGACTCCGTCAATAAACCTCCATGAAAACCCCAAAGAGAGCTTGTCACATTAGGCACGTGGTCAGGGATGGGCTCCTACGGTATTTCCTAAGGAGCAAAGCCGCCATCTTCCCATTGACACTCAGACACAGTTAGTTACATGAGATCCAAGGACATTTTCCCAGACCACCTGTTTCTTCATCCAAATTCACCTGTTTTCTGGGGAGCTCGTCTGAGAGTTTGCATGGGAGATGTGTTCCTGGATGGAGACAACATCCATGTAGTCTCCATTTTAAGCAAGACTGGTGGGACACAAGTATTATGAATATTTTATGCAAAATCCCTTAAATCTAAAATGCTCAGGCTCAGAGCAATCCACAACTATCTTGGCAAACCCCACGTAGTTGGACTAGCGGGAAGGGTACCAGCACCACAGTGGGTGGGTGTTCAGTTCAGCAAGTGGGGAAGAGATTTGCACATTCCACCAACCCTGGTGGAGACGAGAATAGAGCAAGCTGATTCCTAACATTCCAGACACTTTTTCTTTATTTGTCCCTATGGTTAAGTGAGCCCCAAGATTAAGGGATGAGGTCAGATAAAGGACTTTCTTTGAAATGGAAATTATTTAAAATCAGTGCAGAATGGATCCAGTTAACAGTTTCCAGGAATGTCTCCTCTGGGGGTTTGTGGCTGATGGTGCTATGATTTCTACCAAATCAAATCCAGGTTCCCCGAATTTTCCTGGGTGTTTGGAATACTTCTATTCTAAATGGAATTCTAATTGGCTCAGCTGCATTTTCATGTGTCTGGTGTGATGTACTTATCACATTTTATTTTATTTTATTTTTTAAAGATTTATTTATTTATTTCAGGGGGAAGGGCGGAGGGGAGAGAATGCCAAGCTGACTCCCTGCTGAGTGTGGAGCCCAACACGGGGCTCAATCCCAGGACCCTGAGATCACGACCTGAGGCGAAACCAAGAGTCAGATGTTTAACCAACTACGCCACCCAAGCACCCCATCACAACATTAAAAAAAAAAAGATTAAAAAAATTAAAGACTAAGCATTTGTTAGTATTTACCCAGATCTTCCTAGAGTGGCTGGTGACTCTGATTCTCATAACTGATTTTATTTTTATAGTTTCTTATCATAATTGGATAGTTCGTTATATGAAACTTCCTCTGTTCACATGACCATATGGTTTGTCTAGATTTCTACTGGACCAGAAGAATATCAACTCACTCTTCAATTAAAATTAAAGTTCTTCTCTTGGCAACAATGGAAACCAACTCTAGCTAACTCATGGCCTCTCCTCCCCACAAAAAGAGGATTTGTGGGAAGGCAACTGAGGTAGCTCCCAGAATCAAAAGGACAGCAGCTATCCAGCCTTGGGAAGGAGAGACATTAGTCTGCTTGGAGACTTCACTCACTCATTCAAAGGCCCCCACTGGAGAACCATATCTCTAGGTTCCTCCCAGAAGATGCTTCACCTTCCATGCTACCTCTCTGTACCTCTGCTCAAGTGTCAAATGTCAGGGTATTGCATTGGATCAGGTATAGCAGGGGCCTACCCCTGTATTTGTCACTGAGGGTGGGCCCAAGGAATAGAGAACTCTGATAGGCTGAGGCTGAGTCATGTGCTCCCTCCTATGGCCTGAGGGCATTGACGTCTATGGAAGAAACGCCAATAAAAAGACTATTGCCCAGGTATTACCTTCTGTGGAACTTTCTTGACCTCTAAGGCAGAATTGGTGGCTCTTCAGGGCTGCTCTCACACTTTATAAACACTTGGATGAATCAAAGAGAAAATTTTATTTAACAGAATCTCTCCAAAGATGGGAATTGCATTTGTTTGCCAAGTGTTTGGTACAGGAAATGAGACCCCAAGGGCTCATGAATGTGGGTGGAACCGTTCTACAGGAGACCAAGAGAATTCACTTCTCAAGGGAAGGGGGAAAGAGTAGGTTAGGGACCGAGCAGGATGGCAGAACACATTGAGAAATGTCTTTCCAATGACTTGCCCACCACCAGAGAAGGACAATCATAACTCAAGAATAAGGACAAGAATAATTTTGACTTTACCAATTCCTTGCAAAACACACAATAAATATTTGCTGAATGAATGAAGGATGCCTACACTAGTCTGTCAGTTTAGTTACTTATAATGAGAGCTATTTCCTTGGGAACAAGAGGTCCTAACAATTTTCAGTGGGTACTTCTTCTGGTGGAAATGTCGTCTCCAGACAAAATATAATGAGCATGGAATTTGAACAAGGAAACTCGTTGTTCTTAAGGAAGTAGTTCCAGCAAGCAAGGGTAATTGGATTGTTACTGTTTACAATCTCTCTGTGTGTGTACAAAGTACATTTATCTGTCTATCTCACTTGGGTCCTTATAGCGGCCTTAGGAGCTGGGCAGGCTTCCAGGCTTGGCCCGGGTGGCTGCCTTTCTGCCCATATGCCCCATTCATTTGTCTGTCTTCAAACCAGCTCAGATATCATTGCTTCCAGAAAGCCTTCTCCCCTTGACCAGCCTCCTAACAGATGTGCTTTAAAAAAAATAACAATACTCATGTGAAAAAAATAAAAGTTAAAATAAAAGGACTTGGTATGGACTAGGTACTAAACGTGTTGTACCTCGATTATTTCTTCTGCCAGTTGCCCATCCTCTGTATCCCCACGTGCTATGCTGCCTCGATGGTAATACCCACAAATAAAGCGGGAGACAAACCATATGGTCATGTG